GTCCCCCCCCCCCCCCTTGTGGCGGGCCTGAGTGCCGGTGATTTTTAAATGAGCCTCTTGTTTTGCTTTATATAAGTTACTGATTATATTAGCTTTGAGTTTGTTCTATAATTTGAAAACCCAGAAACCGTAGGAGAAGATAAAAGACGTTTGAAAATGATCAATATACAATCAATGTATTTCAAGATTAACTAAATTTTGTGGAAAACATACAAGACCTCTCGGCATAATACAACTGAGGGTATAAAGTATTTCAATTAGATACAAACTAATATATAATATTGTGTTTTACAAATGCATTAAGTATGCATAAGGTTTTGAGCATGGTAATGATTTGTTTAAAATTACAATTGAGCCTTTTCTAGCACAGCGCATTCTTTTCGGTTTGTTGAATGAGTGTTTTGAATGGTCATTTTAGAGTATTACTCTTACTCTAACGAGATTACTCGTCGTAAATTACATTCTGTCTGAAGCAAAAGTTCATTAACCTACGCTTTGAGGCCGGCCATAACTGAGTCGAAATAAAGTTGCACCGATATTTGAAATGAAAACAGGAAATAAAATCGAAATCAAACAAGGATTGATCGAGATAAAAGTCGAGTAAGACACAGCGCTCGTACATTTTTTTTTTTTTTTTTCAAAGAAAAATATCAATTTTTGGCAGTTTTCATGCGAATATTTACATTTTTTTTTTGCTTAACATGTTTTTCACCGCTCCTCTAACCACGATTATTTTTCCGTTTTGTGAATTTGTCCTTCTCATCACAGTTCTCCGTGAAGTAAGTTTCGATCTGATCAAGTGACTTGCCCTCGGTCTCCGGTAGATAGCGCCAATAGTAGAAAAATCCCAACGCTGAGAGTGCACCATAAAAGTAAAAGACTCCTTTGAGCTGGACCAGCCTTTCCAAGTACAAATAGGACTTCGACATCACAAAATTCACTAAGTACGCCCAGGCTGCAACCAGGCCTTGTGCAGTCCCCCGGCCTCTATAAAAGTAAAAGAAAAATTTAAAAATGTTTAAAAGATCAAATATTTTTGCTCCTTCTTTATTTGAAAATTAGCATGTAAAGAAAATGTATGTACCTCTTAAAATCTATACTTTGAAGCCTACTTGATGAAGCCTAATTTCTCGTACTTAGCGTGTGTAACACATGGTATCCTTTTCTGATGTCGAGAAAAAATCTTAAGTAACTAAGAGTAATTGTCCATGAAGAATTCGCACGGCTTTTTTTGAGACAACCATTTGAGCGTGGGTGCTATCATATTGCCGTAGGCTGGAATTGAAGGCGAAACATGTGTCGTATCTGTTTAACCTTTCGTTCAACATTCGCAAGATGTTTGGCGAGGAAAAAACGAACACTTTCAATTGAGTCATGTGTAACTGAGTTGTGATTTTAAATTACAATTAATAATAGAGTGAGGCTATGAAGCTTTCGAGTATTACATTTACTTGAACAGTTACTGTTCTGCCTAAACTCTATGGCCCCACTAAAATTCATTCTCTTCCGTTTTTTTACGTTTTATCTTACTCACGCTATTTACTGAGTAGAAATTCCGAGAGAAAACGGACTCTTTCAGAAACTGAAAATTTAATGACATTTTTACGATTTCCAATTCTAAAATAGATCTGCGAATTGCTTGGTTTTTGAGATGGATTAATAATCCTACTTTAAGAGGAGAGAGAGAAAAAAAAATGAAATCAAAGGTGAACACCCAGATAGAGCACCAGTTGATTGGCATTCAGAACTCGCAAGTTGGCAAAAGTGGGTTTCGCTCATCTAACCACACGTAAACCAATCGATATATGCCGAAACCGGCTGTTTCACTTAGAATTCATCATTAATTACTGCACCCTTTGCCTTTAGGCACCGGGTGGGGACGTTTGCACCAGTTCCAACCGCCGCACAGTGAATCGAGGTCGGACATGATTTTTTACTAAAACTGCAAATTTTGACGTTTATTTTGTCACATTTTGAATTTTAAAGAGTGCTGTAGGAAGAAATATCACGAAAAAACCAATGAAACCACTTTTAGAACCTGACAGTCTTGTAATAAACGGAGATATAAGCGCTTGAAGTTTTCAAATTTTGTCCGACCTTTCCTATTGACTCGATCCACTGTGAGCCAAAAGCCGCGGGATATGCAAGTCGGATAAATGAGTGTGTGAGTATGAGTGAGTGGTCAATGTATTTCCATTTATTATTATGATAGTTGATTCAAATGAGGGTAGGGACAGTGCTGCCAACTCTCAAGAATCGCGCAACTGTTTTTTCAGTTTGGCCTTGTCTCCCTGGGCCGTTTCACGAGATTTGTCCCAGGGAAAAATCCCACTTACGAAGTTGGGAAAAATATTGAGTTAATCAATATTTTTCCCAGTACTATAAGCATGGTCCTTTCACCCTTAGGACCCACTGAAAGAAGAAGAAGAAGTATAAACGAATTTTGCGATATTTTGTTGATTTCTCCATTGTTCATGTTTCTTTAATTCAAATAAAGTGTCTAATTGTCAATTGAGTGCAATTATTATTTCAATCCCGGTTAAAACTCGACTTTAACTAAGTTATATCCAGGGTCGGACTGGCTCGCATCTGAGGGCGTTGACCCTTGGCTGGTCAAAGAAGCGTAAATCCTGGTAGGGCATTCCCTACGTGGAGAGGGGTTCGGAAAATTTTGGAAAATCAGTACAAGTTTACGCTATTTTCAGGTTCAAAGTTTATTGATCGCACGGAGTAAAAATTGCAAAATTGAAAGTAAAGCACAGCATTGAGAGCTCACGGTTCGCGTCAACGCGCCTTCAATTTTTCAGATGCAGCGCGGACGTCCATCAAGTACGAATAGTTGTATCTCTGCGCCGTCGTTAACGCGCATCCTTTCCCTCGCTTTATTATCATATTGTGTTTGTTTCCGTTTGTCTTATTCGTAATGGTGCTTCAAGCACTACGTGAGTTGTACAGCCGAAGGTAGGAGAGATGTCTTCAGGACTTTTTTTTAAACTTTTCTTCCGAATCAGAGCGACGCTTCAGTGACAGCATAAAGCAGAGCATTGAGAGCTCTCGCTTCGCGTCAACGCGCCTTCAATTTTTCAGATGCAGCGCGGACGTCCATCAAGTACGAATAGTTGTATCTCTGCGCCGTCGTAAGCACGCATCCTTTCCCTCCCTCTTTTTCCATATTGTATTTGTTTGCGTTTGTCTTATTCGTAATGGTGCTTCAAACTAGAGCAGAGCATTGCGAGTTCACGACTCACGGCATTGCGTCATATGCAATGTGGACATTCATCTTGCGCGAATAGTTGTATCTCGTTTACATTTTAAATGTCTCTTACTTTTGAATTTCGAGACAAATTAAGGTTTAAGTTTGCCCGAGCTATGCTATGGCGTGTCCAGATCAACAGTCATTTGGAAAGGAAGAAATATGTTTAAAGGTCTCTTAAGAGGTCTATAAAGGATGCGCACGTCTAAAAATCGAACCGACCATCGCTTCTAAGGGAGTTACACATAGCGAATGAAGGAGGGGGATGATAAAGCACCTGTATGTCAAGAAGAAGGTGAAATTTTCACAGAAAATTGTTTACGCTTCAGAAAGTAGTTCTTGGACCTCTGTTTACTACTATCATTCGTTAAAGTACCTTTCTTTACTCCTAACTCTCTCCTCTTCCGTTTATTTAAGAAATTTTTCTCACATATTCTCGTTCGTAATTTGTTTTCTTCTTATTTTGCTATCTTTAAGAGGGGCGCGTTTTCGGCACGGAAAGGGGGCGTATCTGCCAATGGCAGATTGGCCTTATGGCCAGTCCGAGCCTGGTTATATCTTCCCACGCAAACTAGTCGCAGGACCGTATGAGCCTCGTCCCGTGGAGATGGTAACTGAGAAAAATCCCAGAAAATTCACTCCTCCTATTCGAACTTGGGAAAAATCCCATGAAAACGTCCCGTGGAGACAAGGCCTAAGATTACTGTTTGTATAAATTTACTTACTCGACGGGAAAAACTTCCGCGCAAAGTTGCCAAGCGATGAGAGCAATGCTGGAGCCACTGGCAAAGAACAAAGAAACGAAGAGCAAAATCGGGATCCAGTCGATGGCTCGGGCCTTGGTTGGCCCCGTGAGATAGGCGAGGTACACGCCTAAAAGCAGGACGGAGAGCGTGGCCAATGCTTGGCAGTACAAAGTGAGTCGTCGCTTGCCCAATCGTCGCACGAAGATCACGTTCATCATCGCGCCCACGAAGTAGAAAAAGGAGATCAAAACCTGAAAAAAGCATCAGTACTTCACTATTGATCCGGGTCTGGGAACCGGCATGGAACTGTTGTGAAGTGAATCAGTGAGAGCGAAAACACACCACCTCGGTAACTCGAAAATCCTTAATTTCCATTAAAGACAGGTAATTTACTTAAAGTTCATTGAAATTAGCGCATCTGTTCCAACTTGGACCTTTAAAGTGTCCAAAAGTACTTGTCTTCCGGCAGCAAAAATCTTTTTCTTAAACTAACTTCTTCACCTACTATGCAGTTTTGTGTGTGTCTGGATTATTATCATTTTTCCGAGTAGGTGTGTTTTCGTTCTCACTAATTCAAACATTTGCTAGACAAAATATATTAAGTCTTTTAACTTAAGATAATCACATTGAAAGGTCTGCAATTCACTCGTAACCTAGAAACTCGCATTTTTGAGCCTCCTGACTCAAAAGAGTGCTCAGGTACAGATTATTTTCCCAGTTTCACAACTCCATGCGAAACTGAAAATGGTTGCAGTCATATGTGTCGCAGTTATTCGATTCAAAATAAACAACACGATACCCGTCATTTTTTTAATATCTTCTCATTCCTGCTTTTTTTGGATGGAAACATACTTTGATTGTTTGTTTTTATATCAGGAGCTTTATCACACGACATTTTTAACTTATTCGTATGGAGTTGTAAAACCGGGGTGCCGGAAAGACTTACCAAAACTAAGTAGTTGTCAACAGTAAGTCCAAATTGTTTGAGAACACCGACCATAAACGGTCTCATAGCTGCGAGCTGAGTTGCTGTGCCAAAAAAGAACACGATAAATACCATACGCAGAGGTAAATACAGTTTTTTGTTGGTAATTTCCCGGAATTTTTTCCTCCAATAACTTTCATCATGTTCTCGAAGCGGTTGCGGCACTCCTGCAACAATCAGACGTAAGTAAATCAAATATACAAAATCAATTTCAATTTGTCACGGATATTCATACGCGTGAGGAATAGGCATTCATTTAAATCAATGATAAACAAGTGTATAGAAAATTCGGTAACGACCCGACTTCACTCAATATTAAATAGCAAATGAGTAAGCATTAACCAAGATGGAGCCCTCACATAAAGAAAAAGTGACCAAAATGTTGTGTCAGTATGGTTAATAGAACGCAAAGTATCACAAACAGTCGGTTAATTTCTATTGCTTAGTTTTTTCCAGATAAGGTCACTCGACACTTTGGTTAATATAACCAGATGTTGTGGTCGAAGAACTCCATACCCATTGAGCATTGATCGAAAAAGTAAATCGTAAAAATTACTTCACACATTCTCGAGAAAATGGAGCTCGAGGGTAAAAGCTGAGGACCATTCTAAAATAAAGATGTTCCATGTGTGAGGAATTTGCGATTTGACTATAGATTCTTATGTAATAGTTAGCGAGAGACACGATGGTGCCACTGGTTTTCTCTGAAATCAACTCCCAAGCTCAATAAAAGCTCTCAAGTTGAGGCCACAATGGAGGGGATATCCCACGCTATCCTGAGAGTCCACCCCAAGACAAACTCCCCATGCAAAGATAGGGAGCAAATACATTGACAGGGCTGCCACTTTATTCGGGGACTCTAAAACTGGAAACACGGCACCACTGCTATAGTCAAATCGCAAATTCCTCACACATGCAACATCTCCATTATTGGGAGTAGCCGTGCGCAGCTTAAAATACTTTAAGCTTTAAACTCTTCAATATTCACTGCATTTTAGACCAAAACACTTAGTTACTCACCGTTTTCAGAGGTAGGGACCATCTCATATTTTTCTCTTTGAGAGCCGCGAAATCGTTTCGACTTTGGCTTAGTGTCAGTGTACTCTAGCAAACGCTGAAATTCCTCCTGAACCTCCTCCGGCTTGAGCCAGCCTCTCAGCCAACCTAAAGCTTTTTGGGCTTCTTTTTCGCGGCCATTCATGACCAACCAAGTGGGCGATTCTGGAATCTGAGCAAGTATTCGATGTTCAAATAAATACGTCTACAAACCAAGCCATCATTGTAAAGGAACGGATGATGTAATGTTCGTGACGACAAAAAACGGAAATAAATTTTGAAATTGTCCTAAAAATATTTAACTCGACATCAATTTTACCAGTTTAATGTTATATAAAACCAATATGATACATATCTGCACTTGCATTTTTAATAGAATTACGATTTGATGAGATAATTGATCATTTTGAACACAATTTTTCTTAAAACGCATGTCCGAAATTTTTGAAGTCCGTGATGCTCAATGTGTCAATAGGTATAGCTCTTTCTGAAATTTAACTTGTTTGATGAAAATTTGAGTGAAAAAGGGGGTTCTCACTCGCATGGGTCGAATGGTTTTTTACATTATTCACTCCAAATAGCTAAGTGATCCTTTATTGACAATTTAAATTGTCCAAATCCAACATCCGTGACAAAGAAAATGTTTTGTCGGGTAGATAGGAGTATTAGGAGTAAAAACAAGGGGACAGCAGGGAAACAAAGCTAAAATAAAACAATAAAAAATCCGAAACGTTTCGACTCAAAACTGAGTCATTTTCAGTCGGAAAGTCAGTCGCGGTTTTTCTCCGATCTCAGCTACCGACATGTTGGTTTCAGGTTTTTTCATCGATATTTTTTAATTTTTACCATATTTTCCGACTGAAAATGACTCAGTTTTGAGTCGAAACGTCTCGGATTTTCTATTGTTGTATTTTAGCTTTGTTTCCCCTTTCTTCCCCCTTGTCTTACTCCCGTTACCATTGTCTCGGGCTGCTTCGTAAAAATGTGTATCTATGTAGATAGGAGTACGGGGTTTCTGATCTAAATTATTTCGTCGTTCCTCTGTCGTAAGGGCGTATCTCGATTTCCATATGAGCCCCAGAACGCATGGATTTACATGTAAAACATGGCTGACGCGGAAATTGAGATACGACGATTTCTGACCTGGGCAATGGCTAGGAACGTGATGACCGGAACGAAGCTGCTGATCAAGGCGGCCGTCCTCCAGTGGACGAGGTAGCCGATGAGGTACATGATGAGCATACCCATGAGGCAAGAGGCCGTGCCCATGGCTGAGAGGGTTCCTCGCACGTGGGGTTCGCTCATCTCTCCGATGTACGAGTGGAGGGGGGCCTCGCAAAAGCCGATGCAAAGGCCCAGCGCGGCTGAGACGAAATAGAGCTGGTAGACGGAGCTTGCCAGGTACAGCGTGCTCCAGGCCACCAGCATCGGGATGTTCACCAGCAGGAGGCTACGCTTCCGCCCTAGGAGCTCCTGCAGGAACCCTGAGATCAGGGCCCCGATCGGGTGCGCGAAGTACAAGATGCTTCCTGGAAAAAGAAACGCAACATATCAGAAATGGACCACTAGGCAAGGGTACGAATCGAAGTTGGAACACACGCACATTTGGGAATCCCATCGGAACCAGATTAAGATTGGATTGGATACTTACCAAACCACGATGCTTGCTCGTCGGTCAAGTTCAGAGCTTCGTCGGGGTTTTTATGAAGAGCACCTATCACGATGGTGGGTATAATCAGCTCCAGCCCAAAGTCAACGAGCAAACAGGCCAAGACAAGCATAGCCACGATCTAATGGAATGCAAAAGCATGTTAACAAATGCAATATGAAAATTCTAGTTCCAGATGTGTGAGAAGGACGACATTGTGGCATGTCGCAGAGAAGAAGTCGCCGTTCTCCAAAGGTCCAAGGAACACCACTCGAAAGAGACCTGCCAAGTAATGTCCGTTGCACGGATCGTTTTCTTCGTAAAATTTTGTAGAGGGAACATGTATTAGAATTCTTAGATTCGTATCTTGTCTAGAAGTCCATTAACATTTTGCCAGCGTAAAGCTATTATCGCAATCATAGTGTCATAAACACACTCCATCTGCAGCCCGCCGAAAAAGTTGATGGTGGAAAAAGTTGGAAATGAGAGAAAAAAATCATTCCACAAAAAATGTCTTGATCTTGAAGGAAAATTATTCAAACCATAGTAGTGCTTTTGAGCGGTTACGGCATATCGCACCATTTATTATTGCCGTTACTTCAGAGTTCCATTTTTTACATGTAACTACAGATATGTACGATCTAAAGAAATTTTGAAAATATTTGAAATTAAGAAGAAGGAAAAAACATTTCCCTCCAGTAACTTTATATGACTGTTTGCTCTACCTGTGAGAATGTCGATCTGCCGGCATTTTTGTATTTTATTTCTTTTGGCTTAGGTATCAAATCTTCAGTCTGGCTTTCGGCTTGATTTTCTGAGGACTCCATCTCGTTGGTCATAAGTGCGTTCGTCGAACATGCGAGAAATCCTCCCGGGGGTCCATCTTAAATTTCTACGGTGACAGCATCTGGTTATAACAAAACCAATTTAATTCATTAAAGCAAAAACACACTATGAAATAGGTTTATTTTTGTTTGTGGACTTCAATTGTTTTTCCTTTTTTCATGTGATCGTCGATAAAAATTAAATAATAAGTAGGTAAAAGCGCTTGCCTCATACTTCAAAATGTTGTTAGGTAGTTCTTGAATTTTTTTTTTTTTTTTTTTAAACATTATTTAATCAACTTAATTTTTCCCTGAACATTGATATGCAGAATTTATTTATTGCTAAGTGGTAAATCAAAATGGTATAAAGGTAAAAATGAGTTAAAAAATATCGTGTTTGTTAGTATATACCATATTGTATGAGCCTTCCAGCGAAGAACGGAACTTGGATATTTATAGAGGGGAAAACAAGTTCTTGACCCAAGGAAGAGCTTCAGCACTTTCAAGATCGAGCCAATAGCTGTTTTTCTTCAAATTTTAGAAAAATGTTCAATCATGCCTAAACGTCACATCACACTGAAATCTATCAGGTATTTATGCACAAGATATAACTGAGAAACAGTTCGAAATAACTTCAAATGTACGTTCCGAATGAATACTGCAAATCGAAAGGTGAGACGATTCGCAGTACTTTCTTGGGATGTACTTCCGGTATTATCTCAAAAAGTACCTTGGTGAAATTTTGTGTATAATACTTCATATATTACGTAATATACTTCATATACTTCATAATACTACGCAGAAATTATCAACTAATTTCTCAACTAGTAAACCGTTTTCAAAAGTGTTACGGCGGAACCACCTTAATAATAAAAACTTACGAACATACCTTTCCGAACCGTGGCACGAAAATCTGTGTAACCCACATGTGCTTATATGAACTTGGAGCCCCAGACTGACACATAGGAAAAAAACCTTGGCATCCTTACGAACAGAGTCACAAGTTTTCTTACCTATTGTTTTCTAGCTATTGTTCTACGAAAAGTTATTATGTCACATCTCAGATAGTTCATTATATGAATTAAATGATTTCACAGTTTTCAAATAGTAGTGGGTGTCTCAGGGCCGTGGCCCTGGTAAAGTAGTATTTTTTCTTTTTTTTTTATTGGGATTTCTTTGATCGAGCTCCATTATCCTGATGACAAAAAAGATACAGTGTATTTCCTTCGGAAATACCCTAAAAAATCATCGGAATGACAAGAAAAACTTGAAATGGTTAATGTTCGTTCCAATGAAATCAACGAATTTTTTCTTCAAATACATGAAAAGAGAATTCTTAATTTACAATAGCATTAGACCAGGTAGCAGCACGTGCTTTGATCTACGTTTTTTGCTTCTTTATATTTTAGGGACACCGTAAACCAATTCTAATGTTAGATACCAACAGAGCATATTATACATGCAGCAGTATGTAGGTACATCTTAGTCTCTAAATAATAATGTGGACTTACTGCTGTTTTGTCTGCGATGCCTTCAATTTTTGCGGTCTAACTGCTTTTTCATAATTAGCTTTTTTGTTTCTCTTTTTGCTTATAAATAAGACTAATTTTGTAATTTTAGGTTTGATCGCTGCCATTAGATTCTGTTGCAAGAGTTAATTTATGAAGATGGAGTTTTTGTTTAAGTAGTAAAGATCTTTGAGACTCCGCCAATGGAATAAATTTATTTATTTGCAGACATTCATGGGTGTGAAAAGAAAAGCTTTGCTGCGGATCATCGCTCCATTAACAGGCAGAACACACACTATTACAACAAACTACATGATGCTCACATTTGCTCACATTTGCTCACATTTGCTCACATGCCGGCGATTTATACGAAAGAAACGTTAGATACAAGTTATAAATCAACTACATTCGTGCGAGTGAAGGCAGAATAATCACAGAAATATGAATGGAGTGGCAGAGTGTTAAAGAGGTCAGATAAGATCTTGTCCACTTATAGAAAATCCACCATAAAAAAAAGATCTTGTTGAGAAAATTATTTATCATTAATTCATTTTTACCACCAGATAAAACTTTCGAATTCAAATAATATTTAAGTTAAACACTTTTCAATGAATCATTAATTCTCGATTGAAAGCAATTTACAATTTTGTTTTGGCGGTGAAATTTTCAAATAAGTTGAACATCGTCACAATTTTGAAGTCCTAATTTCTTTTAGACTAATCCAAGTTTCATAATTTTACTCAATTTACAAAACTTGTAGGAATGTTTTTTTCGGAAACCTTGCGCTACAAACGCCTTATCACGTCGGTGATGATAAGCTAAGACCTAGGTGAAGAAAGACCTCTAAGACAATTGTTCTGTGATGTGAAGAAAGTGTACTTAGAATTGAAAGAGCGACAATTTACTAGAGGGGAGATCCTATGGACAAAACTGTAAGATTTATTTAAATTTTTAAATCCAAAATGTTTAATAAATTTAGTGTAGAGGAGACGTTTCACCATGCTACTATCTTCATCTTGTATGCACTTCATAAGTTTAAGCACTTACACAAACGTGTTTCGGCTATCCTAAATCTAATTCGAGCAATTTGATACTCAAATTGTGAACATACTGAATTTGAGACTCATTGACGGGAACTAAAAATAATTGGCCTTAAAGACAATACTCAGCTCATGATCATCTTCATGTCTTCAGATTTCACTAACAATTATTTTCTTCCTCAACACCGAAGCAAAATATTATACGTGTATTAATTAAATATTTAAATATAATGGGAAAATTTGGGCTAGCTTCTTATCCACCAAAAAAAAAAAAAAAAAAAAAAAAAAAAAAAAAAAAAAAAAAAAAAAAAAAAAAAAAAAAAAAAAAAAAAAAAAAAA